GAGACCTCCCCCTACGTCCGCGTTATGAGTAATCGGCAGCATCGGGCTGGGTACAGGGGATATGTGGTCCTGCATCCTCATCTTCCTCCACTCTTGTAAAGTCTGTAGGATCGGTCCTTCTTCGGCGAGGGGAGCCAACGATCTCCCGGGGCCTCCCCAGATCCTCGCCTCCAGCGTCGGGCCGACCAGGCCCCTGTCAAGTTCAACCCATTGTTTAGGTGTCTGCATGGAGTGCCAGTCCAAGATACGTTGCATGATCGCTGCCTGATGATATTTCTTCAAATCTGGTAGCGCTAGCCCTCCGTAGATTCTAGGTCGGCAAATAATGTCATGTCGGATCCTAGATTGTCCTCCCCGCCAGATAAATTTGATCACTGCTGTTTTCAAGGTAGAGAAGAGGGTCGACGGGAGTGCGAGAGGTATAGTCTGCATGAGATACAGGATCCTCGGGAGAATATTCATTTTTATCACCGCAACTCGCCCGTGCCAGGTGATATGCGGGTAGGACCATCTGGACAGGTCTGCGAGTATGTTCTTCAGTAAGGGTGTAAAGTTGTGTTGGTAAATATCTCCCGGGTCCACAGTCGCCCAGATGCCCAGGTATTTCATCTTGTCACGGCACCAGTGGAACTCGAATTCTGGTTCCAGGGATCGGAATTCATCCGTCGGGAGTGTCAAATTCAGGACCTCGCATTTCGAGACGTTAAGCTTAAACCCGGATATCTGTCCGAATCTGTCAAACTCGGAGAGGAGGCATGGTAGGGTGATCCTGGGGTTGCGGACGAAGAAAAGGAGATCGTCTGCATATGCAGCAACCTTATGATGGACTCCCTGCCAATCATAACCCTGTATGTCCGGATTTTGGCATATTGCCTGTAGCAGTGGCTCCAAGGTCATTGCGAACAGCAGAGGCGAGAGTGGGCATCCCTGTCGGGTACCGTTGCTAATCGCGAAGTCCTCGGTTGTGGCTCCGTTAATCCTTACCGAAGCACGTGGCCTACTGTATATAGCAGATATCCACTTGAGGAGTCTCTGGCCGCAGCCCTGCCGTTTCAGGGTCTCCAGCATGTACGTCCAATTGACCCGGTCGAATGCTTTTTCGGCATCTGTTGATAGCAAAAGTAGCCGGGTTCCTGTCTTCCTTGCGTGATGTTGGATAGAAAAAAGCCTGAGAGTGCTGTCCCTAGCTTCCCGGCCCGGGATGAATCCCGTCTGGTCCGCGTGGATTAAGTCGGGGAGTAGATGTTTAAGCCTAGTTGCAAGGACTTTCGTGAACAGCTTAGCATCGACATTCAACAATGAGATCGGTCGGTAACTGCTGCATTGTAATGGGTCCTTCCCTGGTTTAAGTATGACCGTAATGGTGGCTGCCAGGGATTCCTTTCCCAGGATCCCTCCTTCGCCTACAGCGTTAAGCGCCTTGGTTAGCCAAGGTAGTAGCACTCCTGAAAAACTTTTATAATATCCCGTAGAGTAGCCATCTGGGCCTGGGGCCTTGCCGGATTTTGATGTCTTCAGGGCTGCGGCTAATTCTTCCACAGTGATCGGGGTGTCCAAAAGCGTTGCCGATTCCTGAGCAATCGTGTTCGTGACTGTGCCAGCCAGGAAATTCTGTATCTTTGTGCGTTCTCCAGCTGCGTCGGTGGCTCCGTTGGGCGTATACAGATTGTATAAGTGTTCATAGAAAGATCTAAATTCCCCAGCTATTTTCTGAGGGAATGGGGAAACCTCTCCCGTAGCCAGACGGATCTTACGTATCTGTCTATGGGGCAAGGGGCCTTTCAGTAGTCTCGCCAGATATTTACCCCCTTTGTTGGCGTGCACGTAATAAAAGCCCTTCGAGCGTTGTACGGATCGGAGATGTCTTTTCAGAATGAGATCTTTAAGTCGTCTCCTGTGCTCCATTAATTCTCCGTAGACTGCGTTTAGCTGGGAGCGTTTGTGTTGACGTTCCAGAGTCGATATAGATCGATATAAGTCGACCATTTCTAGCATAAATGCCTTCCGCTTCTGGGAGGCAATGCGTATGAGAGTGCCACGAAGCACACTTTTGTGAGCTTCCCATACAGAAATCGGAGAAGCCTCCGGGGTATCATTCTCTCCGAAGTATTGTTCCAATGCTTGTCGGATCTGGTCCTTGGTGCCCGGGTCAAGCAGTAGGGCTTCATTAAGCCTCCAGGTCCACGTCCTCGGTCTGTACAGGGGTGATTCCAATTCTATCCTGACCGATCCATGGTCCGACCAGGTGGCCGTTTCGATCTCTGCTCCGCGTAGGTGGGAAAGTCCCTCCTGTGCAATGAGGATGTAATCTATACGGGAATAACGATTGTGAAGGGCGGAGTAGTAGGTAAAGTCTCTCACCGTGGGGTGAAGTGTCCTCCAACAGTCCACCAGTCTCAGGGCTTCCATTGATTGTCGAATGGAGCTAATGCTGTGTTGTGGAAGGCAGCTATGACCCGTGGAGGAATCCAGCGTTGGGTCCAGCGGTGCATTGAAGTCGCCTCCTACTAATAGTATCCCGTCTGTGAAGTCTTCCAGTTGATGCATAGCGTTGCGGATAAACGGGGCCTGCCTCCGATTGGGCACATAAATAGTCGCAATGGTATATATCTTATCTGCTATAATGCCCTTGAGGAAGAGATATCGTCACTGCGAGTCTTGAACGCGGTCCAATTCTTTAAATTCCAGTTCCGCAGCTAATAATATAGCCACTCCAGATTTGTGGGCCGTTGGGTGATTACAGAAGTAGTTATCGGGGTAATGCCTGTCCCGTAGTCTAGGAGTAGATCCTTCCTTGAAATGCGTCTCTTGGAGCATAGCTATAGCCACGTGTTTTTTCTTCAATTCCCGTAACAGGTGCGTCCTCCGTTCCGGTATGTTGAGTCCTCTACAATTCTGTGTGATGACCTTTAGGGGTGCGTTACAGTAGGCCATGGTCACTATGTGGGTCGGATACAGTCCCGGTGTAATACGGGGTCAGGAGGTTGCACCGTTAGTCCGCTACTGCAGGGAAAGCCACTCGTCTGGGGCACGGACCGGCACAAACGCGGGGGGGACACGGAAGAAAGTGGGAGAGGGGGGATAGGGGGCAATGGGGGAAGGAAAGAGGGGAAAGCGGGTTATAAAGGAGCGCACAAGTAGTAATTCCGGGTCCCGGGGCGCGGAGCCGACTGCGCCACGTAGAGTATGAAAGGAGGTAAGTATCCCTTTATGTGGTTACCCCCCAGAGTCCGGTGAGAACCCTGATTTAGATCTAGAACCCTTCTACAAAAGAGGGTGGGAAAACTTGCGCGGCGACCAGCACCAGCTGGGGCTCGCTCCGGTACCAGCCCAGGAGCCGAGGGACCCTGCCGTCGGGTCACTAACCTCTTGGCACGAGTGTATGTGTTGGAGAGCGCGGCTCAAGCTCCGCCCAGGTAAGGTTTCGGGGATTAGATACGTGGTTCTCCGCTCCACCTTATCCCCCATGGTCAGGTTCGAATGGATAGCAATAACCTGCGTAAATTGTACAGTTACAATAAAAGCACACTGGTAATAACAACAAATAACGTTTTGTCAAACATGGCCCCTGAGGCTGATGAACAGAAAACAGTATAACCCTTCATTCCCCAAGTACTCCCTCGAAGAAGGAAGATGCCCACCCATCGTCCACCCACTCTGGTCAGTCTAAGTAAACCCTTATTCCCTTGTCGTTAAATGTTAGCTCCCCTGCATCCACTAGCGGTGGGGGTCCCTATGTCGGGGGCCCCCTTATCCATCCTAAGCGCTCCTCCGAGTTCCTGACCCAATACTTATGTACATCTCATGCGTCATGTGTAGGTCATTCTCCGGCTATGCACCCGTCGGTACCCAAGTGGGGGGGGGGGGTTCGTATATAAGTAAAACCACAGACGTTCATTTGCCGGTGGGATGAGTACAGGTATGGACTTGTATGCTCTGAAATAAGAAGACGTTACTAGGGATTCACGTGTGGGCCTAAGCTATAAGTCAGTCGTTCGGAGATATAATTGTTAGTAGGGAGATCTATCGTCTGTCGGGAAAAGCGTATCAGCCCGCCCTATCATTCTAGGGAACGACATCAGCAAACCAGCGGGGTCTAGTTAGGGAACCACCGGCCCAACGCCAACTAAAGCCTCCAAAATAAAGCAGTGTGCAAGAGGGTATGCAGCGGTAAGCGTGGGTTAGTCAGCAGCAGGGTACATTATTTGCAGCATTGATATTCAATTCTGTTACCCTCCAGGTTCCCTCCCCCACCCTCCCCGCGGATAGCAGACATTACTTTTAAGTGCATATGGCTGAGCTGAGAGTCCTCCTCTGCGGAATAATGTCCCCAAACGACAACCGAGGTTAGGGATCCAGGTAAATTTATGGTTCCCCCTAGGGGCGTTCGTCATGCGCGGTCTGCATCCCCCCTGAGCCCCTCTCCCCAAAACAATGACTGCTTGCTCCTTGCTGGAAATCTCTCATGATGTTAGGGAGTGGATGGTGAGGCAAGTACATTCCCCGTGTGGCAGCCTCACAAGTGCATAAGCCCTTTGTGTGTGTCCTCGTGCCCATGACCCCCCGCCCCAAACCCCCAAAACGATAACCCAATGTACCTGGCGGCAATCCGCGCACCAAATCTGTTCATCTCGGGCACCGGTAGGAAGGAGCGGGTCCCAGGTAGCAGGGTGCAGAGACAATCATGCCAGGGTCAGTTTCTCCGGAGGGAGACATCGAGTAAAGACCTGGGTGGGTTGCCAAAGGGTTACGTGCAGCCATCGTGAGCGTGGGTGGGCAGAGGCGATTACTCCTCCGGAGCTGTTGGGTCCCCGCGCCGTCCGGTGTGCGGAGCAGGACGAGGCCTCACTTCTCTCTGTCTAGGTCCCCTCTGTGGTCTCGGCTGTGGGCCTAATGGTCCCAATATCCAGTTAGGGACCAATGGTGTAGGGAGGCCCATTGTCTCCATAAATTGCGGTATCTCTTCAGGCCATCTCAGAGTGAGCCATCTATTCTGGTATCTAGCCATCAGGGCAAAGGGGAAGCCCCACTTGTAGTGGATATTTCGGTCTCGCAGTAACCGGGCGTAGGGCCCGTCTGGCTTCCAGGGTTATGGGAGATAGATCATTATAGAGGGCGACTTGAACTCCTCTAAAGGGCCAGGTCTGCCGTTCCCGTGCCTTTACCATAATGGTATTCTTCACCGGGAAGGAATGTAGGCAGCATATTAGGTCCCGCGGCCCATCTTCCACATTGCAAGGACGCAGGGCCCTATGTGCTCGCTCAAATTCTATCTCTGGCAGCGGGGTCGGGTGTAATAGGGAGCGGAAGAGTTCCATAAGGGTGTCATTTACGTTTTCCGTCCCTTCTGTTTCTGGCACACCACGGATACGTATATTGCATCTCCTGCCTCTATTGTCCACATCTTCGAGATGCCGACGCATGGAGAGCAACATCTCACCTTGTCTTGCCACCGCTGTGTCAGTAGCTGCCATGCGGGTCGTGAGGGCCGCGTTCGCCTCCTCCACCTCAGTGATGCGGCCTGCTTGCGTTGTGAGTTCTGTGCGGATCCCTGCGATCTCCGTCCGCAGGGTTTCCTGGATGGCAGTAGTGTTAGCCTGGAGGTCAGTTTTCGTGACCATGGCCGCTGCCAGGTCCCGCAGGGTACTTTCAATCCGGTCAAGTGCCGGTCCCTCCTGTCCTGAGGTGGATGGTGCCGCCATTTTGGGACTCCCGGAGTCTCCGCTCGTTCCTGTCTGCGGCTGCAGGTAACCGTCCAGCGGGCCCTGTGAGGGGTGCCTTGGGGTCTGGGGCTGCTCCGGGCGTTTAGTGCGCCCCATTAAGGTGGTTATGCAGTGCTTGCAATGCTTTTTAGGGGTCCGGCGGAGCGGAGCTCACTCTTTACACGGCCATCTTGGTGAGAGCCGGAACCACGCCTAAATGCACGCTATTTTGACACCAGTGAGTGAGTGGTGGCACTGGGCACAGTATCCACTGTGAGCCTGACATAGACGCTGGCAGACAACTAACTGCTATTCAATCTATAACAGTGAAAAAAGTTTTTGGGTTTTTAAATGCACGCTATTGTGACACCAGTGAGTGAATGGTGGCACTGGGCACAGTATCCACTGTGAGCCTGACACACCCGCTTTGAGACAACTAACTGCTATTCAATCTATACCAGTGAAAAAAGTTTTTTGGTTTTTAAATGCACGCTATTGTGACACCAGTGAGTGAGTGGTAGCACTGGGCACAGTATCCACTGTGAGCCTGACACACCCGCTTTGAGACAACTAACTGCTATTCAATCTATAACAGTGAAAAAAGTTTTTGGGTTTTTAAATGCACGCTATTGTGACATCAGTGAGTGAGTGGTGGCACTGGGCACAGTATCCACTGTGAGCCTGACACAGACGCTGGCAGACAACTAACTGCTATTCAATCTATAACAGTGAAAAAGGTTGTTTGGTTTTAAATGCAAGCTATTGAGACACCAGTGAGTGAGTGGAGGCACTGGGCACAGTATCCACTGTGAGCCTGGCACACCCACTTTGAGACAACTAACTGCTATTCAATCTATAACAGTGAAAAAAGTTTTTTGTTTTTAAATGCAAGCTATTGTGACACCAGTGAGTGAGTGGTGGCACTGGGCACAGTATCCACTGTGAGCCCGACACACCCGCTTTGAGACAACTAACTGCTATTCAATCTATAACAGTGAAAAAAGGTTTTTGGTTTTAAATGCAAGCTATTGTGACACCAGTGAGTGAGTGATGGCACTGGGCACAGTATCCACTGTGAGCCTGACACAGACGCTGGCAGACAACTAACTGCTATTCAATCTGATATAGTTAAACAAATTATTTTTTTTAAATGCCAGCTATTGTGACACCAGTGAGTGAGTGGTGGCACTGGGCACATAATCCACTTTGAGCCTGACACACCCGCTGGCAGACAACTAACTGCTATTCAATCTATAACAGTGAAAAAAGTTTTTGGGTTTTAAATGCAAGCTATTGTGACACCAGTAAGTGAGTGGTGGCACTGGGCATAGTATCCACTGTGAGCCTGACATAGACGCTGGCAGACAACTAACTGCTATTCAATCTATAACAGTGAAAAAAGTTTTTTGGTTTTAAATGCAAGCTATTGTGACACCAGTGAGTGAGTGGTGGCACTGGGCACAGTAGTATCCACTGTGAGCCTGACACACCCGCTTTGAGACAACTAACTGCTATTCAATCCATAACAGTGAAAAATGTTTTTTGGTTTTAAATGCAAGCTATTGTGACACCAGTGAGTGAGTGGTGGCACCAGTATCCACTGTGAGCTTGACACACCCGCTTTGAGACATCTAACTGCTATTCAATCTATAACAGTGAAAAAAGTTTTTTGTTTTTAAATCCAAGCTATTGTGACACCAGATATAAGTGGTGGCACTGGGCACCGTATCCACTGTTAGCGTAACACACCCGCTTTAAGGACACTGACTGCCATTCAATCTATAACAGTGAAAAAAGTTTTTTGTTTTTAAATGCAAGCTATTGTGACACCAGTGAGTGAGTGGTGGCACTGACTGGGCAAATGGGCACAGTATCCACCGTGAGCCTGACACAGAAGCTGGCAGCAGTGGCAGACAACTAACTGCTATTCAATCTATAACAGTGAAAAAAGTTTTTTGTTTTTAAATGCAAGCTATTGTGACACTAGTGAGTGAGTGGTGGCACTGGGCACAGGATCCACTGTGAGCCTGACACACCCGCTTTGAGACAACTAACTGCTATTCTATCTATAACAGTGAAAAAAGTTTTTTGTTTTTAAATGCAAGCTATTGTGACACCAGTGAGTGAGTGGCGGCACTGGGCACAGTATCCACTGTGAGCCTGACACACCCGCTTTGAGACAACTAACTGCTATTCAATCTATAACAGTGAAAAAAGTTTTTTATTTTTAAATGCAAGCTATTGTGACACCAGTGAGTGAGTGGTGGCAATGGGCACAGTATCCACTGTGAGCCTGACACAGACGCTGGCAGACAACTAACTGCTATTCAATCTATAACAGTGAAAAAAGTTTTTTGTTTTTAAATGCAAGCTATTGTGACACCAGTGAGTGAGTGGTGGCACTGGGCACAGTATCCACTGTGAGCCTGACACAGACGCTGGCAGACAACTAACTGCTATTCAATCTATAACAGTGAAAAAAGTTTTGGGGTTTTAAATGCAAGCTATTGTGACACCAGTGAGTGTGTGGTGGCACTGGGCACAGTATCCACTGTGAGCTTGACACACCCGCATTGAGACAACTGCTATTCAATCTTTAACAGTGAAAAAAGGTTTTTGGCTTTTTAAATGCACGCTATTGTGACACCAGTGAGTGAGTGGTGGCACTGGGCACAGTATCCACTGTGAGCTTGACACACCCGCATTGAGACAACTGCTATTCAATCTATAACAGTGAAAAAAGTTTTTTGGTTTTTAAATGCACACTATTGTGACACCAGTGAGTGAGTGGTGGCACTGGGCACAGTATCCACTGTGAGCCTGACACACCCGCTTTGAGACAACTAACTGCTATTCAATCTATAACAGTGAAAAAACTTTTGGGGTTTTAAATGCAAGCTATTGTGACACCAGTGAGTGAGTGGTGGCACTGGGCACAGTATCCACTGTGAGCCTGACACACCCGCTTTGAGAGAACTAACTGCTATTCAATCTATAACAGTGAAAAAAGTTTTTGGGTTTTTAAATGCACACTATTGTGACATCAGTGAGTGAGTGGTGGCACTGGGCACAGTATCCACTGTGAGCTTGACACAGACGCTGGCAGATAACTAACTGCTATTCAATCTATAACAGTGAAAAAAGTTTTTTGTTTTTAAATGCAAGCTATTGTGACACCAGTGTGTGAGTGGTGGCACTGGGCACAGTATCCACTGTGAGCCTGATGCACCCGCTTTGAGACAACTAACTGCTATTCAATCTATAACAGTGAAAAAAGTTTTTTGGTTTTTAAATGCACGCTATTGTGACACCAGTGAGTGAGTGGTGGCACTGGGCACAGTACCCACTGTGAGCCTGACACACCCGCTTTGAGACAACTAACTGCTATTCAATCTATAACAGTGAAAAAAGTTTTTTGGTTTTAAATGCAAGCTATTGTGACACCAGTGAGTGAGTGGTGGCACTGGGCACAGTATCCACTGTGAGCCTGACACACCCGCTTTGAGAAAACTAAGTGCTATTCAATCTATAACAGTGAAAAAAGTTTTTTGGTTTTAAATGCAAGCTATTGTGACACCAGTGAGTGACAGTATCCACTGTGAGCCTGACACACCCGCTTTAAGGACACTGACTGCTATTCAATCTATAACAGTGAAAAAAGTTTTTTGTTTTTAAATGCAAGCTATTGTGACACCAGTGAGTGAGTGGTGGCACTGGGCACAGTATCTACTGTGAGCCTGACACAGATGCTGGCAGACAACTATCTGCTATTCAATCTATAACAGTGAAAAAAAATTTTTGTTTTTAAATGCAAGCTATTGTGACACCAGTGAGTGAGTGGTGGCACTGGGCACAGTATCCACTGTGAGCCTGACACACCCGCTTTGAGACAACTAACTGCTATTCAATCTATAACAGTGAAAAAGTTTTTTGGTTTTAAATGCACGCTATTGTGACACCAGTGAGTGAGTGGTGGCACTGGGCAAGTGGGCACAGTATACGCTGCGAGCCTGACACACAGACGCTTGGAGACAACCAACTGCTATTCAATCTATAACAGTGAAAAAAGTTTTTTGGTTTTTAAATGCACGCTATTGTGACACCAGTGAGTGAGTGGTGGCACTGGGCACAGTATCCACTGTGAGCCTGACACACCCGCTGTCAGACAACTAACTGCTATTCAATCTATAACAGTGAAACATTTTTTTTGTTTTTAAATGCAAGCTATTGTGACACCAGTGAGTGAGTGGTGGCACTGGGCACAGTATCCACTGTGAGCCTGACACACCCGCTTTGAGACAACTAACTGCTATTCAATCTATAACAGTGAAAAAAGTTTTTTGGTTTTAAATGCAAGCTATTGTGACACCAGTGAGTGAGTGTTGGCACTGGGCACAGTATCCACTGTGAGCCTGACACAGAAGCTGGCAGACAACTAATTGCTATTCAATCTATTATAGTGAAAAAAAAATTATTTTTTTAAATGCAAGCTATTGTGACACCAGTGAGTGAGTGGTGGCACTGGGCACAGTATCCACTGTGAGCCAGACACAGAAGCTGGCAGACAACTAACTGCTATTCAATCTATTATAGTGAGAAAAAAAAATATTTTTAAATGCAAGCTATTGTGACACCAGTGAGTGAGTGGTGGCACTGGGCACAGTATCCACTGTGAGCCTGACACAGAAGCTGGCAGGCAGGCAGGCAACTGCAATTACATTACACAGAAAAAAAAAAAAAGCAGACTGATGTTCTAGCCCTAAAAAGGGCTTTTTGGGGTGCTGTCCTTACAGCAGAGATCAGATGAGTCCTTCAGGACTGTAGTGGACACTGTATACCCTAACCTAGCTATGCATTTTCCTATCTAATCAACAGCAGCTACACTTTCCCTCCTCTCACTAAGCATGCAGCTTGAGAATGAATGTAAAATGGATGCTGTCCAGTAGGTGGGAGGGTCTGCAAGGGAGGGTGTGCTGCTAATTGGCTGGAAGGTGTCTGCTGACTGTGAGGTACAGGGTCAAAGTTTACTCAATGATGACGAATAGGGGGCGGATCGAACCGCGCATATGTTCGCCCGCCGTGGCGAACGCGAACATGCTATGTTCGCCAGGAACTAT